TGAACCCCTGGGCAAGGGCTCTGCATTACTGTCAGCCCCATGCTCTCTGCCCCAGCCCAGCTGCAGCTCCCCCCGCCACCCCCATCCCCTCTCTCTGCTGTTTGGAGTGAGCAGGACACCGGGGAAGCCAAGCAGGTCCCCCAGGGACTACAGCAGCCCCACCCAAAAGCTGCGCACTGGCCAGTCCAGGCCCTTCTCAGCACAAGGGCAGGAGCAAGGCACAATAGGGTATGCTGGAGGGTATGTGTATACATAGGCACCTCACTCCCACCGCCCCGGGAAGAAGAAATGGGCACAGTACAATTTGTTGGTGGGCGCCCATGGGCCAGATGAAAGTGCCTGGTAGGCCAGATGTGGCCCGTGGGCTGTATGTTACCCACCTCGTCTTAATGTAAATACAGCAAAGCCACAGTCTGGTCTACAAAGATGAAGATACCAGGAAGGAGTGTGGACAAAAGCTCCCAGTGACCCCTTGCTAGAAGTACCTGGGTTATATCACATGCCCGTACATATCTCACTAAATGAGGAGTTGAGGGAATGCATTATCCACATGTCATAGCAGCAGAGGTTGGTAACACTTCCGTTAACTTTTGCTGGGTTGTAATCAAAGGAGGAGAAAGGGGATATAAGCAGCACTGAACCGAGCATGCTAGGATTGTTAAATGTGTTTGGAGAGGAGACACTAGACAGGAGAGGGAGGAAATCAGACTCATTCCCCAAGGAACAGCTCTTGGTACATTTATGTGCAATGAATTGGAGATGATACGAATGCAACAAGAAGGCAAAGGGAGATCATGCTGCCAAGAAAGTATTGCATATGGGAGCATCAGGAGTTACAAGAATGGGGAAGACACAAGTGAAGGCGGCTGGATCAAATGAAGGAGGATATATCAGTATGCAATGTGAGACAGGCCTGATCAGTAACAAAGCAGTGGGAAGGAAGTGGATTTAAAATCACCAGCCAAAAGTCCATTAGGATGAGACTGCTGAAACACAGGAAAAAGACAATACATTTCAGAGTCAACATAGCTCCATGGAGAAGCAAGAACCAAAGCTTTACCCAGAGAAACGAGGGCTTCATAATTCCTCAGCATCTGGTCCTGGTAAAGCACCTTGTCATGTTCTTCCAGCAGCTCCCACTCCTTTCGTGTGAAATACACAGCCACGTCCTCAAACACTTCCCGGAGCTGCAGTCACAAGCATTACACCATCAGCGTCTCCTGTTCCAACTGCTTCCATCCCCACAGCCCTATCTGGAATCACTGAGCGCTACAACTAATTGCAGGCTTAGCCTTGACAGGTAGGGGTGCAAAATTCCCCAGCCTTCAACTGACATGCGATTTGGATGCAGCTATGGACATAGAAGCTCAAGTGTCAGCCTTAGCTCAGTTCCATTTCCTTGACCCCTTGAGGCAGTCAAAGCAGGACTTTTAGAGGCAGGGAGCCCCGACTCCATTCACTCTGACCAGGCCTTCCCATGCCAGCACCCCTGGCTACCTGTACATGGGATTGGAGCACCTGTTAATGCAGCTTGCTGTGTTTGCAGCCTCTGTCACAACAGGCTTGACTCTCTTCAGGTCTCTCTGCTCCCCAAATTCTTTACTTCTGGCCCCTCCTGGGCTCTGCCCCAGCTGTACTCCCACCCCCAACAGGACCTGGTGTCCTGCTCACCTCCAAGCTGTCCTCCTGCTTTGGAGGCCTGCCCTGCCCCCTCTGCACTTGGTCTGGCTCGGGTCTCAGGGAGTCCTTCTCCCCCAGTCTCCCTGGGGAAGTCTTCTGCAGCTCCAGGTTCCCAGGCCCCTCCTCAGGAGGCTGCTGCTCAGCTCTGCTCAGGGTCCCAGCACCTGCGGGTGGGGAAGAGAGTGCACAGGTTAGCCCTGGTGCTGTTGGCACGGAGGAAGTCCTCCTAGTCTCCTGGACTGGCCCAGGACTAAGGCAGATGGAGGCTTCAGTGCATGGAAGAGGTGAGAGAAGAAAGACTCAAAAATCCTGCAACTCTTTCTAACAGGCTTCCATAGGCACAAAGAGAGAGATGAACCCCAATAACTCTGTCTCAGCAAGGGGTGGTGATCACAGCACCATGTCAAAGCCTGCAGGCACATCGTTCCCTGGGAAAGAAGCTCGAAGGATGGTGGGACTGTATCAGATCTACATATTATGGGTAGGGAGAGGGGAAATACAAAGTCAGATATCTCCAGGGCATATGAAATGCTTCCAGGGGCAGTAGGAAAATCAGAACAGCCAATCTGTTGGAGCTGTGCCCCATCAAACCTTTCTGGCAGAGATGGATAGTGCCTCTTGCTGCTGGAAAGGGTAGAGACACGCTCCTTACCTTCTCCTGGGGAAGGGACTTGTTTGGGGCACCAGCCTGACGAACTTCCATCTGCTGACAACTCCCAGGTCTCCCCAGTCTCAAGGGAATCAACAGCACAACAGGGACCTGGGTTAGTTGTACCTGAACCAGCCAGTGGCAACTGGGGAGTCTCATTTCCCCGTCACCTGAACCAGCCCCTCATTGGGAACGGAGGGCTCATGGGGGCAAGAAAAAGGGGCAAGTAGAACATTGATCATTAAAAACAGCAATCAGGGGGGATAAAAATCAAGTATTTTATTTTAAATAAGAAAACTGGATTTCTTTTATTTAAATCAGATTTTCTGCTTTAATAGTATTTTTAAGATGCTTATTTAAAAAAAGTATATAAAGATCATTTTAATACAAGACATGTTAAAGCTCAACCTTATTGCTTCCTATGATGAGGTAACTGGCTCTGTAGATGTGGGGAGACAGGCAGATGTGGTGCACCTTGATATTAGCAAAGCTTTTGATATGGTCTCCCACAACATTCTCGTAGGCAAGCTAAGGAAGTACGGGCTGGATGAATTCACTGTAAGGTGGATAGAAAACTGACTGGAGCATCAGGCTCAGAGAGTAGCAATCAATGGCGTAATGTCTAGTTGGCAGCCAGCATCAAGAAGAGTGCCCCAGGGGTTGGTCCTGGGGCTGGTTTTGTTCAAGATCTTCATCAACGACCTGGAAGGTGGGATAGACCTCAGCAAGTTTGCAGATGCCACCAAGATGCAGGGGGCTGGCAGGGGAGTAGTAGATACGACGGAGGTTAGTGCTAGGATTCAGAGTGACCTAAACAAATTGGAGGACTGGGCGTAAAGGAATCTCATAAGGTTCAACAAGGATAAGTGCAAAGTCCTGCACTTAGGAAGGGACAACCACATGCACCGGTCAGGCTGGGGGCTGACTGGCTAGGCAGTAGCTCTACAGAAAAGGATCTGGGGTGACAGGGGACAAGAAGCTGCATATGAGCCAGAAGTGTGCCCTTGTTGCCAGGAAGGCTAATGGTATACTCGGCTGCATTGGTAGAAGTGATTATTCCCCTCTATTCAGCACTGGTGAGGCCACATCTGGAGTACTGTGTCCAGTTTGGGGCCCCCCACTACAGAAAGGATGTGGACAACTTGGAGAGGGTCCAGCAGAGGGTGACAAAAACAGGCTGAAGGACATAACTTATGAGGAGATGATGAGGGAACTGGGCTTATTTAATTAACCTAACAGCAGCCTTCCAAGTGGGTTTGAAAGAGGATGGAGCTAGACTGTTTTCAATGGTGACAGATGACAGAAAAAGGAGCATTGTTTTCCACTTGCAGCAAAGGAAGTTTAGCTTAGCTATTGGGGAAAATGTTCTCATTAGAAAGGCAGTAAAACACTGGAACAGGTTACCCAGAGAGTTTGTGGAATCTCCATCCTTGGAGGTTTTTAAGACTCGACTAGACAAAGCTTTGGCTGGGATGATCTTGCTGGGGATGGCCCTGCCATGATTGGACTAAATAATCTCCTGAGGTCCCTTCCAACCCTGATTTTCTATGATTCAGAATATCATAATGGAGTAGGAATTGTAATATAATTATGTACTATTTGAGACAACATCATCATGTAACCTCTTTAGAAAAGTTGTATATATAGGTCATAACAGGCTCTGGACTATATTAGGGGCCCAATGTTATGGGGGTCCCAGAGGCTCCTCTATAGATTTGTAAAGATTCAAGAAAAATCACTCTACCCAATGGGACTCAGTGCTCAGTCTAGAAGATCCAATTAATCATCTCTATGATGCTTAGTTTTAGTTCTCAAACTGTGGATTTGTCTCTCCAGAGATAACATCCTTGTTAACAGCAGTATATGGGGATGAGCGATAACAGAAATGATCACCTACCCATCATCCCTCTTGTCTCTGCAAGTTTGTGTACACAGAGTCAAGCCCTTACCTCTCTATAAGTGTCAAGTTTCAAGAAGTTAGATGAATAGAGGATATCAAACAAGAATGCACTTTTTGTATAAACCGGTGATTAAATCAAGGCTTCCTGAGCAGTGATTTAAATCATGATTTAAATTGATTTGATTTAAAATCAAATCCACCCTAGCAGCAATGACATCACTGATTGTTACCACCACAGCAGGAAACAGCCCAACCAAGATAAAACCTCTTTCTGCTGGGAGCTGCACCCATGCAGGGGGAAAGATCACAGGCCTCAGCCTGGGGGCTGCCTCCTTGCAGAGATCACAGCTCTGTCCCAGCCCAGCCACCTGGTTACAAATACTGCAGCACTGTCCTGGACAGGGGAAGTCATTTGAGCCTCTCCCCCTGCATGCAGGACAGCCACTCAGGAACCCAGACCCACACTCCCAAGCCTCCATCCTGTACCTCACCTGACTCCTGGTGGGGCGGAGGCTCCTCTTTGGGGACGTGACGTGGCTCATCCTGAGGTGCCAGGGTTTCCTTCCGTCTTGCCTCCTCAAGAGGCCTGTCTACACAATGGGCCTTTGGCTGCTCCAGCCGGGAATCACCAGGCTCCTGCAGTGTCCCACTGGGCTGCACCTTGCCAGAGGACACCTGCTTGACCTTCACATTCACTGTAATCTAGGAACAAGATAAATATGTCACTGGGAAGCTGGGAGAGACTGGGCTGGGAGGAAACATCCACCAAGCACATGAAGATGGGCACGGCAGCATGAATGAGCAGGGTTAAATATTCTCAGTTGGAGCTTTTCATCTTCTGTCTGTCACAGATGAAATCCCTGGGCCAAACCAATCCCCCACTCCCAGCTCTGCAACACACTCCCAGCAGGATGGCCAGGAACTGCTCCAGCACCACCAGCTCCAGGGTCTGCTCCTTGCTGAGGTGCTAGGGCTCCTGACAGAGCACACAGAGCTCCCACAGGCAGATACAAACCTCCTGTGTCCCCTTGGCTTCCAAGTAGCGGATGCCCCGGAAGGGTTGACGCCAGGTCTCTGGGGTGGGGAGGTCATTCCCCGGTGCCAGCTGTGGGGTCTCCGAGGGAAACTTGGCATCAGAAAGGGGATGCACAGCCTGTATCACCTCCTGTCCCCGGATCTCCCAGCGTTTGACAGACTCCTTCTGCAGCTGCTGCTTTACTTTTACTGGCTGTGGTGCCGACCACCTCGAGGATGCCCCCCAGGTCCAAGCCTGGACTATCGGAGGGACTTTTCTCGTCCCGTCAGCTCCTGCCTGGAGACCTCCTGGGTCCTGCTCCTCCAGCTTCACCAGGGCTCCGAAAGGCTGGGCCATGTCTACCATGGGATCCAGTGCAGCAGCCACTGACTCCATCAGGAGAGGCCTCTCCCCACCAGGACCTGGGTTCTCACTCTCCCTGCACTCACACACGGTGCCTGCTGACAACGTCCTGTCTCCGGGGCTGCCTGTAGGAAAGGAGACAGCACAGATTTCACCACCTGATAGGAGACCTGGGGCCATGACCCTGCCCAAGCCCCAAGGTCTGCCCAGACCTGATGCCCCCAAGTGTTCCCCACTCAGAGCAGCCTCAGGGTCATCTTCACTTCCCCTCCTGCCTGACACAAACACAGTTCCCTGCTCCCCACCGGCCTCACACCAGCCCCGGGCTCCGCCAGGCCCTGTAGCACCCTCCTGGCACCCAGCGTGGCCCTGGTTCCCACCCCCAAGGTCCCTCAAGTGGCCCCACAGCGCCGACTCCTCTCCTCCGCAGCATCCACAGGGGACACAGCTCACCCCACGGCCCCCACCTGGCTCCACAGCTCCTGCCACACTGCCATGCAATGGCCCCTGGCCTCCCAGCCCACCCCCACCCAGCCTGGTGGGCAGCATCTCCCAACAGCCCAAGACACCAGCGGAGCCTCCTGCCCCACGTCTCCTCATGGGGCCCGTCCCCCACCGTCTCTCCAGTGCCCCCACAGTTCCCCCTGCCCAGCCCCACAGCCTTTCCCACAATGCCCTGCACGTGCCCCAGGGCCTCTTCCCAGACAGACCGGCCCCCTGGACTCTTGCCAGGGCTCAGAGACCCCTGCCCAGGTGATACTCAGCTCGTCCCAGGACAAAACTCTGCAGACCCCTCCCCACTCTCCACTGGGGAGGCAAGGTCTGCCCCGCCCCCGACCCTTGCCCCATGCAGGTCTAAGACTCCAGAGAAGCCAGTGCACAGCCCCCCGCACCCCCAGCTGGTGCCCCTCACCCCCGGTGCCGCTGCTCTCTCTTCCCTCCCTGCAGCCTCCTCTTCCTGCTCCCCTCCCCCAGCCGCGGGGACTCCTGGGACCTGCAGCACAAACCATCTGGCTCCTCCCACCCGCCTTGCACATGTGACATCAGAACATCACAGCATGTCAGCATCAGGTCACATCCTGCTGCAGATCCCCACCTTCCCCCGCGTTAACCCTTTGCTAGCCACCGGGGCAGGACCCGTAGGGCAGGCCGGGAGCTGCTCTAAGGGTTGGAGACCCCCCAAACACATCCCCCTGCCAGGCTCAGGCAGGCGCTCGTCTGGGGGGGATTGCCCCTGCCTCCCCGCCTCACTCTGCCCCCAGCCCCCCTTGCCTCAGTTTCTCCCCAGTGGCCTCCAGCTCCCTGAGCCTCCATTTCCCCCCAGGACCCTGAAGCTTCTGTGCCTAGGTCTCTCCTGTGCCTCGGTTTCCCCCCACACCTCAGTTACTGCCAGACGCCCTCCAGCCCCATGCCTCAGTTTCCCCGAGTCCTCCAGCCCCCTTGCATGCTTACCTCCGAGTCCTGCAACCCCTGTGCCTTCTGCCCCCAGTGAGACCCCAGCTCCCTGAACCTCCGTTTGAGTTTCCGCCCATCAGCCCTCCAGCCTGTGCCTCAGCTTCCCAAAGCTGTCCTCCCCCGAGCCTGTTTCCCACCATGCCCCAGCCTCCCCATGTCTCAGGTGTCCCCCCCTCCCAAGCTCAGTTTCCCCTGAACCCTCCAGCCCCTCTGCCTCAGTTTCCCAAAGAGCCTTTCAGCTCCCAAGCCTGTTTCCCACCATGCCCTGCTTCCTCTGCGCACTCGCTTTTCTTGTGCCTGGGAACAGAGTGGGGCCAGGGCAGGGTGGGGCCAGGCCCGTCCTCCTAGAGGGAAGTGGGGAGGGATCCAGGGGGGCTTTGTGCTTTTGAGCGAGACCCAACCCATGGCAGGGGGCTCTGGGCTGTGGGACCCTGCAGAGGTGGCTGTGGGGCAGTGGGGGGCTGTTGGCCCATCTCAGGACACTGCGGGAAGGGGCTGGGGCTGCCCCACACTGGGGAACCCTCCCAGTCCCAACCAGGCTGAGCAGGGGGCAAATCCCTGCCTGCCCCCATGGTCTGAGTGGGGGGGCAGAGAGCCCCAGGCCTACCAATGAGCGTCACCAGTGGGGTCCTCCTGTTCACAGGATCAGCTCTGGTCTGTGGGGAAAAGACACGGATGAGCACTGTCCGCACAGACCCGGCCAGAGGACCCAGGTGTCCGGGCTCCTGTGTCCCGCGGTTCTCACTGCCCAGAGCCAGGAAAGACCCCAGGTGTCCGGCCCCCAGCCCCACATCCCCCATCCTCCCCGAGGCCCCAGCCTCACCAAGGGAGCTGATGCCATTTGGGCGCCGGGGGCCCTGCGGTATCACTGGGACGGCCTCGTTCTGCCTGG